GGCTAGTTTTTGATTTATTGTAGAGATGAGGTCTCGCCAAGTTGCCCAGGTGGGTCTCGAACCCATGGGCTCAGGCAATCCACTCACCTCAGCCTCGAGTTTCACGGCAGGAAGCAAACTCCAAGCACCCAGCCAGCTCCCCCCCGCCACAAGCCTTACCTGGCGGACCCAGCACAGCCTGCTCTTTATTTCCTTCCTGGGTGCCTTTCGTTCCTAATTCATTCACTCAAGAAATACGTGAATGAATGAGGAATGAAAGGCACCCAGCCGGGCTCGGTGGCTCGGCCTGTCATCCCACGCTTTTGGGAGGCTGAGGTGAGTGGATGCCTGAGCCCGCGGGTTCGAGACCCGCCTGGGCAGTGAGACCTCATCTCTACAATAAATAAAAAAATCAGCCGGGTGTGGTAGCGCGCGCCTGTAGTTCCAGCTACTCGGAAGGCTGAGGCGGAAGGATCGCCGGAGCCCAGCAGGTCGAGGCTGCGGTGGCCCGAAGGGGCCACTGCCCTCCAGTCTGGGCGACAGAGTGAGATTCCAACTCAAAAAAGAAAAAGAAAAAGAAATACTTATGGAGCACTGATGGTGTGACAGGCCCTGTCCCATGCACTTGAGATAGATCCGTGTACAAAACAGACAAGGAGTGGTGTGGGGCTAGAGGGAGAAGGTTACCAAAACAAAGAAGTAAATGACAAAGTTACAAGCTGAGCAGTGCTCTTGGGAAAATAAGAAGTCGAGCAAGGGTGTAGCTGGGGCCCGTGGCTTACACCTGTAATCCAACAATTTGGGAGGCTGAGTACGGAAGCTGCAATGAGCCAGCCTGGGAAACAAAGTAAGAGTCGGAAAGAAGAAGAAGAAGAAGGGGGGTGGGGAGAAGAGAAGTTGAACAAGGGAAGGAGATTCAAAGTTCAGGGAAATGATGTGAATTTTGAATAGAGTGGTAAGTCTCACTCAGATCACATGTGACCACACACTTGAAGGAGGTGGGGGAGTGAGGCATAGAAATACTGGGGCTAGGGGTGAACATTCCAAGCAGAGGGGCCAGCCATGCAGAAGCCCTGAGGCAGCAGTGGGCCTATGGTGAGGGGAGGGGCTGGAGGCCCAGCACGGAGCCACAGAGCTGGGATCAAGAGGGTGAGCTGGGACAGGCGGCATCTCATGTGGCGGCTCGAAGGCCATTGCCAGGACTGTGGCTTTTATTCTTCGTGAATGGGGGCCCTTGCAGCACTTTGAGCACAGGAGAGACTTGATGTCACTCATTTTATTTTATTTTTTATTTATTTATTTCTTTGAGTTGGAGTCTCACTCCGTCGCCCAGACTGGAGGGCCGTTGCCGCTCCCGGCCACCGCAGCCTCGACCCGCTGGGCTCCGGCGACCCTTCCGCCTCAGCCTTCGGAGTAGCCGGAATTACAGGCGCGCGCTACCACGCCCGCCTAGTTTTTTGGATTTATTGTCGCGATGAGGGCTCGCCGAGTCGCGCAGGCGGGTCTCGAACCCGCGGGCTCAGGCAATCCACTCGCCTCGGCCTCCCAAAGGGCTGGGATGGATCCCGGCTGATCTGATTCGTTCGAAAAGGCCCGCCGGTTGTGTCGAAAGTGCCCCGGAGGGAAAAGGCAAGGGCAGACACAGGGAGGCCGTTCAGGAGGCTTTTGCAGTAATCCCAGTGATACTCTCTTCTTTCCAGCCAAGCCTAGGCCTCGCTTCTTTCCGCCACCTCCCTGTGTTCTCGGCTGGGCTCTTCTTCTTCCGACGTGACTTCTTCCTTTTCTCTCCCAGACAGCGTTCACCTCCTCTGTGGCTCTTCTCCCGCGCTCCCCCAGCCAGGCCTCACAGGTCCGGCCGAGGGGACACGCAGACTGCCTTTCAGGGCTCACACCTCCTCTTCTTACGCTCCCCTTCCTACCCCTCCTCTCCCTCCCTCTCCTCCTTACCTCCCCCCGTTTTCCGGTCTGTTCGTCTCCGTCTTCCCCACCCCACTGCGCTGGCGCGCGCTCCGACGCCATGCCCTCCTGCCTCCGACCCTCCCTGCGGCTCGCGCTTGGCCGAGGACCAGAAAGGCCTCGAGCGCCCCGCGCGCACCTGCCAGCGCGCTCGCCGGCCCGGCGGGACCCCGGGGAGGCGGCGGGCACGAGTACGCATGCGCGCGCGCTCCCCGCGAGTCGGCGGCCGCGTCCGTCCGCCCCGGCTACCAGTTGCGTCACGGAGCGAGGTCCGTGCTGATTGGCTGCCCGAGCTGGCGGCCAAGGTGGCGTGGGAGCTGCCTGCCGGCCGGGGTCGGACCAAGCCCCAACCCCCAACCCGTCTCTCGCTAGTTCGTGCGAACCGGCTATGCCCAGCAGATCCAGAAACGGAAGGGGCTGTGACTCTAGGGGACCTAAAGAGTTAGCACCCAAAGGACACAGCTTTGGCTGCTGCTTCTAAGAGTACGCCTAGGTTTCCTATGGCAGGGCCGAGTCCTTGCCCAGCCCAGGCATGTCTGGGAAGATCGAAGACCCCAGCTAGTTGTGATCCTAGTGTAGACCCTGACTCTGGACCGCTGATGGGGTTCCCTGGGGCCCGGTGCCTGCTGCCACGTTCCCCCAACTCCAGCCAGCCCGCCTTCCCGGCCTTTGCCTTCGCAGGTGGCTACTACATGCTCCTGGATCCCAAGGATGCAAAGCCAAAGCAGAAAGCTGTCCTCCTGAGCCCCGCGAGCCAGTCCTCCGGCTGTCTGAGCCTTTCCTTCCACTACACCCTGCGGGGCCAGTCTCCTGGTGCAGCCCTCCACGTTTATGCTTCAGTCCTGGGTTAGAGTGGAGAATTCCTGGGATTTACACTGAGCTGGCTTATCTCCCGGGGTTGGCTTGATGGGGACATATGGAGCATCCCTTGGGGTCTGGGATATGTATGAGAGTATTTCATGAAGTAGAAATGGTGGCTGGGAGTCTAGCCAAACAGATAAAGGTGCCAAGAGAGTAAGAAAGAAGGATATGCTTGCACCTGGGGTAATATTCTCAAGCATACCCTCGCCACTCACCCTTGTGAGCATAGACTTGAAGTCCGTCTCAGTTCCCTCACGCTCACCTCTCTCTCTGATGGCTTCCACTGCAGGCAGCATCCGGAAACACAGTCTCTTCTCGGGACAGCCTGGACCCAACTGGCAGCCTGCTTCTGTCAATTACACAGCTCAGGGACAGATACAGGTACAGAGAAGCAAGAGGACGGGTCCTGGCGAATGGCAGGAAGCCCTGAAGTTGAAACGAATCGAGGGTCTGGGCACTGGAAGTAGGAATACTGCATCCCTGAATGACGTGAAATCATCTGGGAGTGGGGGGAGTGGGTTGTGTGCTCACTCCTGGCCCATTCTCCCTCTTTCTTCAGTTCACCGTGGTGGGCGTGTTTGGAAAGATCCCAGAGCCGGCGGTGGCAGTAGATGCGATCAGCATTGCTCCCTGTGGGGGTGAGAGCACGCCCTGGGGAGCCCAGATCTCTCTGAGTCCGGGCTGGGCTGGGGGAAGGATGGAGAACGTGGTCCACGGTTTTCAAATCCCCGGTTTGACCCCTTAGAGAGCTTTCCTCAGTGTGACTTTGAAGATGATGCTCACCCCTTCTGCGACTGGGTCCAGATTTCGAGGAATGGTGGTCACTGGGCCCGGGGACCTGCCCACAGCACAGGCCCCTCAGATTTCCCTGATGCAGGTGAGGGGATCGGGGATCCTTCAAGCCAATGAAGCACTGGATCTGCTCCCAGCAAGGGGACTGGCTGGTGCGACTGAAGAAAGAAGTCCTTGTAGGTGGTGAAGATCAGCTGGCAGGTGTTTATTGGGAAACTGCCACGGGGCCACAGCTGTGGAGATGGCAGAGTAGAGTGAGACGAGGATTCTCAGGGCTGTTGGGTCCCTGAAACCCCAGAAAATCCAGGCATCTCACTTCATTGAGCCCGAGGCTTCAAAATCCACAATCTCATTTTCAGCCAAGACATCTCTGAGGGCAGCCAACAATGGAATCTGGGCTGCTGGTTTGGTTTTCCCTTTCTATCTGACCACACCTTCTTCGGTTAGAAGTCCAACCGAGCAGGACAAAATGCTGTGATGGGGGGATCTGGGTGTTTGCTCGAACAAGTCGTTGCTAAAGCAGCGGTAGACTTGCCCTGTGCAGGCTTCTCATCTTGCCCGTCCCCTTCCTTCGCCCAGGGGGTCACTATATCTACCTCGAGGCTGATAAGTTCTCCCAGCCAGGACAGTCTGTCAGTCTGCAGAGCCGGCCCTTCTGTGCCCCGGGTGACATCTGTGTGGAGTTCGCTTACCACATGTATGGTCTTGGGGACGGCACTACACTCAGGGTCCTGTTGGGGAGTCCCGTGGGCAGCACCCCGGTTTCTCTCTGGAGCCGCATTGGGTCTCAGAGGCCTTACTGGCAGAACGTCTCAGTCACCATCCCTTCAGGATATCATCAGCCCATGCAGGTGAGAGGTGGAGAGGGTGGGCCCTGTGTGTGACCGTGTGGGCTGGAGGGAGGGGGCACATGTCTGGGTTCTAGGAGCCCAACCAGGGATGAGGAGGCGGGAAGCTGGAAGGGAGCTGGGACGCGGGGACCTCATCCCTGAGAAGGATAACGGGGTGAGAGCGGGTCTGGACTGCTGAGGCTGCAACGAGGTGACCTTTTGACAGAGGACAGACTCCGTGCCTAGCAGCGTCATTGGGTTGCCAGGGATTCACGTTCATTTCGCTCTTCCTTCTCTCTCTCTTGTTGCCTTCAGCTACTTTTTAAGGCCATCAGGGGTAGCAACACTGCCTTTATCGTTGCCGTGGGTTTCATCTCGATCAATCACGGGACTTGTCTAGGTAAGGCGAAACCCAAGGCCCTAGAAAGGGGGCCACGCCCCGTGATGACCATCTCTTGAGCTTCTCTACATGAACTGCATGAAATGCAAGCCCTGTCTCGTGCCTGCGTTCTCGCCCAGCTGGCTTTGTGTTCTATATTCTCCCTGCCTCGTCCTCTCCTGCACCTCGGGATGAAGCCTGGGTCAATGTGACCTGGATGCCATGAGTTTCTGTGGTTGGATCCAGAACCCTTTCCTTACGATCCTGAAGGCAGGGCCCATATCCTGCTTATTTTTGTGTTTCCTGTGCCCGGCACAATATCTGATGTATATTAGGCGCACTGTGTGTTGATTGTTAAATGGGTTCAAAATAGAAGGCGAGGTGTGACTAAGTTACCCCTGTGCGCCCACCTACTCCAATTAGAAGCAAGTGAAGAGGGTGGTGGTATGATTTTTGACTGTACTCCAGGGATTTTGTTTTAATTATTATTATTTTGCAGCACCAGCACCCACAGTGCTTCCGACCGAATCTCCAGCTCCCTCTACTGGCCCTTCTGAAACCATTGGCCTCACAGAAAAACCCACCATCTCCATAGAGAAACCTACAGTCCCCACTGAAGAGACTACCATCTCCGCTGAAAAACCCACTGTCCCCACAGAAAAACCGACTGTCCCCCCGGAAAAGCCCACTCTCCCCACGGAAGAGCCCGCCACCCCCACGGAAGAGCCAACTACCCCCACTGAAAATCCCACTGTCCCCACAGAAATACCTACGACCCCTCCTGAAGAGACCACTGTTCCCACAGAAAAGCCTCCCATTCTCACTGAAAAACCCACTGTCCCCACAGAGACACCCATCCCTACTGAAGAGCCCACCCTCCCCACAACAGAGCCTACTACTGTCCCCACTGAAAATCCCACTCTTCCCACAGAAAAACCCACCATTCCCACTGAAGAGACCACCCTCCCCCCAGAGGAGACTGCCATCCCCACTGAAAAACCCGCTGTCCCTACAGAGAAATCCACTGTCCCCACTGAAGAGACCATTCTCCCCACAGAAGAGCCTACCAGCCCTACTGAAAAACCCGCTGTCCCCACTGAAGAGACCACTATCCCCACAGAAAAACCCACCACTCCCACAGAAATATCCATCGCCCCTACTGAAGAGGCCACCATCTCCACAAAAAACCCCACCATCCCTCCTGAAAAGCCCACGGTCCCCACTGAGAAACCCATAATCTCCACGGAAGAGCCCACTGTTTCCACTAAAAGACCCTCTGTCCCCACTGAAAAACCTACTGTCCCCCCTGAAAAGCGTACCATCTCCACAGAAAAACTCACAGCCACCCCGCCACCCCACCCTAGCCCAACACCCATTGGACCAGCAGTCTTGGTGACGACACCAAGTGCTCCAATGGTCTCCATGACAAGTGTGAACCCGGTCACCGTCACAACCCCTGGACCTACTACAGGTATGAGGTTGAGGGAGAGTGGGCAAAGCTGAGAGTAAGAGACGGTGGCTAGGAGAGAGAGTCAGGGGAAGAGATGCTTCTAGTAGAAAACTTAAAGTCTTAGAAGAGAGTCCGTGGGGACTCCAGAAGAAATGAGGACTGCCCAAGGCCTGGAGTGGGTGAGGGCGTTGGGAACCAAGCCCTGCGCTTTCCTGATTGTTATTGAGCTGTAATTCCTAGTTCACACAATTCACCCTTTTAAAGTGCACAATTCTGTGATTTTCAGCATATTTACAAGGTTGCGCAACCATCGTCACTTTTTATTTTATTTTTATTTTTTGGAGTCGGAGTCTCACTCCGTCGCCCAGGCTGGAGTGCAGTGGCACGCTCATGGCCACCGAAGCCTCGACCTGCTGGGCTCAGGTGATCCTTCCGCCTCAACCTTCCAAGTAGCTGGAACCACAGATGTGCACCACCACGCCTGGCTAATTTTTTATCGATTGATTGCAGAGACAAGGTCTCGCCAAGTTACTCGGGCTGGTCTCGAACCCCTAGGCTCAGGCATTCTCTTGCCTCGGCCTCCTAAAGTGCTGAGATTACAGGCATGTGAGCCACTGCTCCCGGTCGTCATCACTTTTTAATTCCAGACACTTTCATCACTCTGAAAAGAAACCCCATAACTATTTTTTTTTTTTTTTTGAGTTGGAGTCTCACTCTGTCGCCCAGACTGGAGGGCAGTGGCCGCTCCCGGCCACCACAGCCTCGACGTGCTGGGCTCCGGCGATCCTCCCGCCTCAGCCTTCCGAGTAGCCGGAATTACAGGCATGCGCTACCACGCCCGGCTGATTTTTTGATTTATTGTAGAGATGAGGTCTCGCTGCCCAGGCGGGTCTCGAACCCGCGGGCTCAGGCAATCCACTCACCTCATCCTCCCAAAGGCGCGGGATGACAGGCTGAGCCACCGAGCCCGGCTTAGGCCTGTTTCTTAGAGATGAACTTGAGTTTGGGGTGGAGGTTCCCCGAGAAAAGCCATGGAGCGGAGGCCTGACGGAGGCTGTGTTTGCCCTTAGAGAACTGCCCCCCAGATGCCCACAATGAATCCTGCGCCTGCCCTGCGTCCTGCGAGAACCCCAGGCCCAGCTGTGAGTTCCCCTGCCGGGGGGGCTGTGTCTGCAATCCTGGCTTTTTGTTAAATGACAGCCATTGCATCAATGCCTCTTCCTGCAGTTGCTTCTACCACAACAACTCCTATGAGGTAAGACCCCTGGGAATCCCCCCAGATGCCCTGAGGGAGGCCGATGGCAGAACACCTGGGTTCTGGCCCCATCTGCTCCCCACACGAGGGGAACTTGGATTATCCATGGGATAGTCCCCAGGGGTGCCGTCAGCAGCAGTGGTGACACAATAGTGAAGTCATTCATTCAGCGCGTGGCTTTTTTTTTTTTTGAGTTGGGGTT